GCGCTACTCTAATCTAATAGTGGGATTTGACCGTTACTCTTATAAAGCATCCACGAACACAAAATGCGTTACTGTAAACAGGTCACGAACCTGGATTTACAGTTCGGGAATGTTGAATACTAGGCCACTCTCAGCTCATTGGTTTTAGTATATTGGGTTTAAGACTGATTCAGTGATGGCTTCATATGATTTACAAAAATAAATCACGTTTGTTGTTGTTATTACGAGATTTGTTTTTGTTGTTATTTGTAATCAGATCTTGAAATTAATTATTAAAGTCTCATAGCTTAAATACTAAAAGGCCACTTTTAAATATCTCTGGTTAAATTTTCTTGGCCCATTATAAATTTACTAATTGTATTTTTTTGTAAATCCAGTGTTCTAGTTCTTTCTGAATTGTTTTATGCAGTATAAAATTGCATTATTATTATTATATTGATGAACTCATGTTCTAAAGCCAGAACAACAACCGACTTGACGTGGTGAACCCAGATCAAAGACTCTGCTAACCTCCTTGTATTAATAAAACTAGAATGAAGTTAAAACAAAGACCTATTTGACTGAAACCGGATTACAGACACATCATGTGAAACCGGGAAACTATTTGTCTAGCCGAAACCATCTCTTCTGTAATAAAAAAAAAAAAGAATAACGAGGAGCTGGGATGAAATCATAAAATGATCAGTTGTAATGAAACTATGGCAAGAAATAATGTTCGGAAGTCAACGAATTTTTGTAATTGCATAAGAATTATTATAAAAAAAATAATCATAAAATGGACAATTTGATTTGAAACAACAGCATGACACGTCGTGTTGAAAAAAGTCAAGAAACTTTTGAAGCCAGAAAAACGTATCGATTTGCTAGAATTAGAATAACGATCTTTTTGTGATGTCTCAATATCAATAGGTCGTTTCTGAACCAGACCAGTTTACATTTTGCGTTGAGTCAGACGCGAAACGCTAGAGTTGCCTGTTTCAGATATTCGCGCAAAGTTACACAATAATTTTCTATGCTAGCCATCAATACTAGCGGGAAGACAGTTAGTTAACGTAACCCACCACCAACTTTTAGGCTACTCTAATTGAATAATGGGATTTGGCCGTCTTTATTATATCTCAACCATTGCCCCAAAGCGTGGATTAGAATTTTGAAGCAAAGGTATGCGAGCCAGGGATCATTGAATCTACATTCCTGCATTCTAATCTAATGGTTACTGTACCGGACTGTAAGCCGTTAGGAAAGTGATACCTTTCTCCTGCTTAAAAGTAATAGAAAATATTTCACTATTTTACTAATTCCCATTTGTGTGAGATTTACTCAGCACAAGAACGGAATTATATATCATCTAGTTTTATTAGAGCCGCTATTTATTGGTTTAAAGTTTAACCTATATAACACTGAAAATTTACATAAAATTGCAGTTGTTGGAACTAAATTACGGGACTTATTTACATCCACAAATATTTTGATGAAATCGACAAAAATACGGAAAATTAACAAAAATAACAAATTTTAAATCTAATTTTGAAGCAGAAATCAGTTGAAATTACTATTATAAAACAAATAAATTTCTGATAGAATCTTTATACATATATATATAAAGCAGAAAGTCTGTGTGTCTGTCTGTTTGTCCGTTATCTAACTACTTCTAGATCGCTGGACCAATCTCAACCAAACTTTGTGGGATGCTAGTTGGAAAAAAGGGACGTGTTATTGGTGGCATCACAACCGCTCATTGTTGAGCATTTATTATCTTTGACGTAAGTTAGCGTTAACTGCATTCATAGATGGCGTCATTTCTTCACACCAAAAACAAAATTATTCAATTTTCTATAACACAATATACACACACTGTGGGGGGAATGGCACACAAAAGTCTTATATATCTGAGATTACGTTAGCACTCTCTGTAGAGGAATGCAATGAGAAAAATGGTCTCCGTTATTGCAATAACACATAAACTCAGCTGAAGTTTCTACTCCAACAGCCGCCATAAGGCTGATATAAAGAGCCGTTTGTTGAGTTATATATACTTCCTACTATGACCCGTGACCTATCAACTTTGGCCCGTAAGGCACTTCTGCGACCAATGACCGTCAATTAATTAATCACATGAAACACTGGGTAAGGACATTAAAAGCTTGGTGTTGAAAGCAGTTAACAAAAAGCACATCTACCGCCACTACATCTTCCTACAAAGTCACCCTACCCATTGCACAGTGTATACCATGTTTTATGTATATACGTATTGAGTTCTTAAAGCTTATACAAAACTTTTGGCGAGGTAAAAATGAATACTGTAACAATATGTTATGTTATAAATAAATTGTCTGAAAGTTAGGATTTTTGTGTTATTCATCATAGCATCCACCCCGGACAAAAGCCTGTTACTTTATAAAACATGCAATATGCATTTTAAACTCTGTTGTCAGTAAGTCTTTTACACATTACTACTTCCACGATTTAATCAACATATTTTGGTCCATGAACTTAGCAGCAGTTTGACAAAATGAGCGGCAGTTCAAACAGACTTGCACATTTCCTCAAAGGGTCAAGGGATGAAATTACTCATTGAAACCATGAAATTCTGTTTCTAAATAAATCTTTAGATTATAATAAGAAGCTTCAAATCAATTGTAATTCACGTTGTGTGTTTATTTATTCTGGAACTGCACCTACAAGTTTGGACCTAGCAGGATAAACTTGGTAGGAGGAGACTCGGGAGGAGGGATGTCACTATCTACATGGTGTAGCACAGCTCATATACCAAGGAAGCCTAAAATGCACCCAGAAGGTCATCCAAGCATTATGGAGGTCTAGGAGTAGGTTTTTTTTGTTTGTTTTTAGGGTTGATGAACTCGAATATCACATCAGTTTATGTGCTCATAGCCCCCCATTCATTATCACTGGACCGCCATGTTTGAAATTATACTCCTACCCCAAAGTACTCAGGTTCAGCGGCCGGTGGCCCTAAAAGAAGTAATTATGAACAATGTTGGGGTTTGATCCATACGTTGCAGCCTCTGTGATTCATGAGGGTGGGTGGGTTGAAACCGTGGGTATTTTGTACTAGTTATTAAAAATGACATAATTTAAATATATTAAGTATTTTTGATATTAATTTATTTAAGCCATTAATATTGTTATGTTTAGGGCGTTAAGTTGGACCAGGACTGTATTCTGCCTTCTTTCTATTCAGGTCAATAGTGGTCCTGGTCCTCTGACCGAAAATACTAATGGCAATCAGAAAACAATTAACAGCAAAACAGTCATAAGTATCATATAGTATTCATATGTGCAAAAATCCATTCCAAAACTGCATAAGTATATTATAATTTAGATATATTCAAATTTGTTCCTACCACAAAAAAGGATTTCAAATTCCCAATTTAACCACTGATTACCTGTAGCATCTCGCGCAATCCGAGATACTCGGGAAGCTTGTGTGATACGTAAAGAGGGACTGCACCATTACTGAGAAAAGTAATTCGGTGAGTAATCAAGAGAAAGAAACCAAAGTGTGCAAGGGGAATATTCTTTCGATTTATGTGAAAGGATGGGATAATCATTGCATCTGGACCATGTATAATTTGTGGAAAGCTAATCAATTATTTATCTTTTTATTCACCTAGGATTATGTTTGCCATTTTGTGTGTATGTGTTTAGGAAGTAACGGAGTGATGTCCAGAATACACTTGTAAAAAAGAATGTAAGCTCAAAAACAATACATTTCAAGCCACTCTGACGAAGTGTATGATACAGTGGAAACAAAATACTAAAAAGTTCCAGTATGAATTGAGATCCCTCCCAAGTTTGTTTTAATGAAATATTATATCATATATTAATATAATATTTCTTTAAAGAATTTATCAAGTAAATTCATGCGATTATATTTTGTTTTATCTTACGCAGAACGTCGATACACAGACGGATATATAGATTTCTTTACTGAAAGTACTTTAATTTGGGGTGGGTACAGTTCTGAATTTCGGAGCTGTGAGCTATGTTTGAACTCGTGTGATACCGCAAAATTAATACTATTATTCTGCTTGTTTGTATGTACGACCGTTACACTTTCTGACCGAGAACCTGCTGCATAAGCAGTTAAAATGTTTCCCCCGAGAAAAATCGAGCATGCGCATTATTCACTCGACGACAAACAGTCTGCCTGCGGCAGAGAGCCTCAAAGCTCAGTGATCAAATCGCTACAATTGCTGTATTAAACAAGAAGTAACAACAAAGGGGGGGGGGGTAAATATACATTACTAACCATTTTGTACAACAGAATATTAAAAACTTATCAAATGTTTTAAAAAACGGTTTGACGTTAGGTCGTAGAATACCGTTGAAGTAAAAAAAAAACGTACACAGGTAACAGTTTTAATTTATCTCTTTATCGAACTTAGGCCTAACATAAGTTAAAGT